AGATCAATATATTTGTTTTCCTTAATTTTAATTAACATTATTAATTGACAATGTAACATTATTCTCATCTGAATTATAAATAATTGATTTCTGTATAAAATAATACTAACATTAAAAACACATTCGATTTTATTTTTTTAATCAATGTAGAATGTGTGAGATTAGTGCTCTGAGGACAAGAAATGAAAACCAATGCAATATGACGAATGTCCAAAAGATGGGACCCACAGACTGTTTTGAAATGGAGTTGGATACATTTGTTTTGCTTTTAAAACAGTGTGTGTGTGTGTGTGTGTCTGTGTGTGATTTTGGTTGGGTGACAGTTGTAGGTTACAGTTTGACAAGAGTTTACATAGTGACAAAAGCATAATGTTGTGTTTTATTGCGAGTGTACACAAATATAAGTAAACACTTTGCAGGTTTAATGATCTGTATGAACAAAATGACGGAGTATGTTTTTTATGTTTCCACTGTTCGATCGCGTGCCTCTCTCTCTCACACACACTTCGATCGCGTCTCTCTCTCTCTCTCTCTCTCATGCGGTCACACCAAACGCGAATAGAGCGTCAAATTCGCGTCTAGTTCGACGCTAGTCCAAAGTTTTATACCGTGTATTCAAATTCGTGCACCGAACCGTGACGCCCGTACCGTTTCGGTTCGATACGAATACATGAACCGTTCCACCCCTAGACTGCTGCATGTACATTAACTGTGGAAAGATATCAATTAAACAGCATTACATTTACCTCAAGCATTTAGTGTCGACAGCAGGTTTGTTCTCTAAAGAAATTAACTCTAGAGAGAAGCATTTTGTAGCACTCTATATTAGCCTATTCATTATATTTACTTAACCTGTTAGTAATGTTTTCATTATTTAATGTATGTTTACGGTAAATAAATGTGTCATGAAAACAACTTATGACAGCCACTAATGATAACATGTAAATGATTATATTTATGTATGATTATAAAATATGATTGATTATAAAAAATAAATGAGTAGAAAATTAACTTTAGAATTAGATTTAGAAGTTAATGCAAAACTGCCTTATGTGCAATTTACAGTACTTTTTTGTGTGTGTTAATTATATCTAAAATAAATAGCAACTCAATTTAATAATTTGGCCTCTGTTGTTAATTGTAATTAACCTTATTATAGTAATGTGTAATTAAGGGCTCCCCATATAGTTTACAGCATTAGCTTAGAATTTTTTATCCCTTTTTTATCCTTTATCCTTATTTAAATACATATACATTTTTGTAAAAAAGGAAAAAAAAAGAAAAGCAGCAGCAATTTTGTGTTTAGCTTTCTCCCCCTTGCTGTAACGAACTGTGACTTCAATACCGAGGTAAGTTCTGAACAGTCATGTTTGTGCACTGTTACAACCCTAATCAGGGCCGGATTATCCATAGACGGGATTGGGCGAGTGCCCTGGGGCACCAGCCAATAGGGGGGCACCAAATGATTAAGAGAATGACTAAACCTTTAAAATAGTTTTCATGTTTTGTATATTATTTTGCTGGAAGAGATGCAGATATAAAATGAACAGTTAATGATAACATATACAGAGAGAATATAAAATATGCTAATAAAGAATTGCGATTGGGTCAGGTCACAGTGTAGTAGCCTATTTCTTCGAAATGAAGAAAAGACAGAGACATCGATCGACATCACCAGCAGAAGCCACTAGCAGCGAAAAATGCCTCAACCGATACTCAAGCAGCAGCTAATGTTGTGAGCAAAGGCGGTAGCCTAACACAAAGTCTAGAAAAAGTTGTTCTGCTAAAGGTAAGGCTTATTTACCATTATTTCTGGGCAAATAGGCTACTGTATGTGACGCTGTTGTCGATTTGAAATTTGGAACGGTTTTCTCTTTTAGCTGGTTGCTTAGTTAGAGATGCTTAGTAGGGTTGGGAATCGTAAGAAATTTTTCGGTTCCGGTTCCGATTCCGGTTCCGCCAAACGATTCCGGTTCCGGTTCCCATTCAATAAAAATTATTAAAACAACTAATACAAATAGTAGTACGGGGAAAATACACAATCCTTTTTGTGTTTTATTTCTGATACTTGTCAAATGAGTTTAACAGACTGGCAATGTCAACAAATGCAACATATTATTTAGCAATAATTTTTTCTGAAGGAAAATAAAAAATGTTGCATTCTCAAGGATAATTTGGGACCTCTCCTATATCTTATTGTATCTCCAGCAGTGGAATACCCTCTCAGAAGGGGTAGAATATGCTTGAACACACATGTAAGATCCAGACAGGTGAAACATAATATTTTTAAAATCGGTCCGAATGATCGATTCATAAAAACTTCACTTGTTTCCTTACTGGATTAAAGTGCTCTAGCAGTTAATAAACAGAAATGCATGCGTCTTGCGGAAGAACATTGTAGCCGGAGCTACTTCTCTATGTTTATGTCTATGACGCGGGTGAGTCACGCAGGCACTGGGCTACTCCGCAGCAGTGCCGAACCGACCAGTGTAAAGTAGTCCGAGTCTAAACGCTTATTACAGCCTTACCGTAGTGATTCAGGATAAGACAAAAACACGTTTTGAAAAAAGGCATTCATGATGTAATCGCTCATTATATACATTTTGTAAATTCTGAAGCGAATTTTCGTTATTTGAAGCGACTTTCAAAAGGTGATTAACTGTTTTGGTTGCTACAGTAGACATCAGTGTTTATTCTCGAACTATAAACTTTGTAGAACATTGTAGCCGGAGCTACTTCTCTATGTTTATGTCTATGACGCGGGTGAGTCACGCAGGCACTGGGCTACTCCGCAGCAGTGCCGAACCAACCAGTGTAAAGTAGTCCGAGTCTAAACGCTTATTACAGCCTTACCGTAGTGATTCAGGATAAGACAAAAACACGTTTTGAAAAAAGGCATTCATGATGTAATCGCTCATTATATACATTTTGTAAATTCTGAAGCGAATTTTCGTTATTTGAAGCGACTTTCAAAAGGTGAATAACTGTTTTGGTTGCTACAGTAGACATCAGTGAGTGTTTATTCTCGAACTATAAACTTTTATCTCAGTACTTCTGTGATCATTTGAATATTTTTAACACAGAAATATCGATACTGTGTTGTTGAAAAGACTGAAAGTAAAGCTAGCTGTTTCATGTAGAACTGCTCTCTCTGGGTCAGCGACAGCGCAAACAGATTTGAATGTCCCGGTGTGAAGTTTTTGTCATTTAGGAATAAGATCGCGTGGGTGTTTGTTGAGTTATGTTTCAGCTATCGTTGCATTCAAAAGAAAAAGTGGACTGAATTCATTCCGATCGATGAATCTGAATGTATGTTTACATGAACGCTAAACGTGATCGGGTTGATGTGCGCGTTTATACGCAAGCTTAAAATCGGAAGAGGTAACGTTAGTAGGCTATAGGCTGCTGTGTGCATATACCCATCTCCTACATTGGTTCTTTGTTTTAAACAGCAGGCTTAATATTTATCCATATCTGGTCATAATTTGTGGACAATGAGCACATGAACCGTTGTTGTACCGTGTTGCTTATATTTATCAGTAAAATGCCCCTCCCTTCTCGCGCCCAAAACCAGTCGTCTCTGGGTGATAATCCGAAAAATGACTGGTAGGACATTGTCCTGCTCCACTTCTCAGACGCTGAGTGAAAGGAGAATTTTAAAATGACGGGACACTTGATTATATGACACTTTATTCAACAGGAAGAACATTTCGAGCGTCATACGTCATTACGCTATTTCAAAGTCATTGCACATACGCAGTCCTTTCAGTTTCAGTTTTTAATCCGAATAAAAAAAGGAATAACCCACCCCTTTCAATCCGATCGAAATTTGATTCCGATCGAGCTTAATCGGATCAATTAAGGTTGAATAAAAGCGTTTCAGTTCGATTGAGCCGTCAATCCGATTACTAATGGATTTGGTTGCATTTGAATGTTTTGCTGCTGTGCGTCTCTGTGGTGCTGAATTTAGCTGATTCTTGGGCTTGCTTATTTGGTATATGGTTTTTTTAGACATAAGGTTTTGCATGTAGTCCTCATACATGCCATTTATGATGGAAATAAAGATATTTAGTATGACATGTTCATGTTGCACTAGCATGTGAGTTGTATGGGGTGGGGGGCACTTAAAATGTGGTCACCCTAGGACACTACACTGTGTTAATCCGGGCCTGACCCTAATATATATATATATATATATATATATATATATATATATATATATATATATATATATATATATATATATATATATATATACACACACACTATATTACACGGTAATAACTAAATTGTAGTATATTATAGTATTTACTACACTTTGGATGGAAGACCATACCCTGTCCATTGCGGATTTCAGTGGTAAGTCTCTTTTAAGTGGTCAATTCACTTACTAGCTCTTGAATGATTGGTCAATACCAAGTAAGGCAGCTGCTTCAGCATAACGGTAAACTAATATCACTGTACTCCAGCTGTAAACCTGCAGGTTTTAGACCCAATAAATTATTATCTCCATGAAGATTATAGACGGGTTAACTTGTGTGTTTATGTGTGTGTGTGTGTGTGTTTCAGGAACTGCCAATGCCAGATTCTCCTGCTTGACTGCAATGTCAAGTTACTGATTCTGCTAAAAAAAAAAATTAAACAATTTATAAAAATTAAACAATGCATCCAAGAACAAAAAGATAAAAAGATTTTTAAAAGAAAGAAATTAATAGCTTCTTAAAATGTTGTTTGGTGTTATTCATTTTTAAGGATTTTGCATGCATATCATTGGTACATGTTTGGCCCCTGACCTGTGCTGTTATGACTGTAATATTGTAGTATCATATACTAGGCAACAGTTTATAAGACCCCCGGTATAATGTGATTATTAGACATGAGTAATCATCAAAATCAACAAACATTCAGCTAGCCTCGCGCTCTGTTTACATCTTTACATCTACATTTTGTAACTTCATCTACACACATCTATGTATGTAACGCTAAAGCTGTTATCCAACCTGAGAAGCGTCGTCGAGATGTCCGTGTCCATGGTTGTGTTCCACACCGTCAACCTCCACCTCAAACACCCCTGCCATCTTTACACTTACAAGCCGACACTGTTCAAGACACTTCCGGGTTACACGCCGCCTTCGTCTTCTTCGTCTTTTTCCGTTTTTGTGGCAAGAAAACTTAATACTGTGCATTTCCGCCACCTACTGAGATGGAGTGTGGAGCATGTAAATAAAATAAATTTAATAATATTAATAATAACAATAATAGTTTATTAAAACACACAGAAGCTCAAATGTCTTTAATTTACAACCCACCAAAATATAAGTTTGTAGAGAGAAAGAAAGTAACTCGAAGGAATTATGAAAGAAATTGTATAGTAAGATGTACTTTTTAAAATAACAATAATCAAATCTATTAAAACATAATTTTAAAGGAATATCACACAAGTTTTTATACATGTTTTAATTTAAACAGTGAATACGTTTTTTTTTTTTCAAAAACATGATTTTAAAAAGTAAATTTGTATTTGTGCATATAATGTTTAAAAAAAATATTTTTTTAATTGTCAGCTGATAAAACCTGTGCTTCATGGAGCATATTCATATAACATCTAAGGCTAAATGTAGCTCTTTACTGGCTGAGTTAGATGGCGATTAACACTAAACGGGGGGATCGGGGGGGATCGGGGGGGGAGAGCCACCCTTTTCCGACTGAGGACCATGGCCTCGGATTTGGAGGTGCTGATTCTCATCCCAGCCGCTTCACACTCGGCTGCAAACCGTCCCAGTGCATGCTGAAGGTCCTGGTCTGAAGGGGCCAACACGACAACATCATCCGCAAAGAGCAGAGACGAAATCGTGTGGTTCCCAAACCTGACACCCTCCGGCCCCTGGCTGCGCCTAGAAATTCTGTCCATAAAAATTATGAACAGAACCGGCGACAAAGAGCAGCCCTGCCGGAGTCCAACATGCACCGGGAAGAAGTCTGACTTTGTCCCAGAGGCTGTAATTTCATTGGACGCAGAGAAAGCCTTTGACCGGGTGGAGTGGAGGTGTCTTTTTTACACTTTAGAAAAATTTGGTTTCGGTCAAAAATTTATTTCTTGGGTGAGGTTACTGTATTCTGGCCCACAAGCTTCTGTTAGGACCAATAATACTCGTTCAGGATATTTTCCCCTCCACCGATCCACTCGCCAGGGATGCCCTCTGAGTCCACTTCTCTTTGCAATTGCTATTGAGCCTCTCTCTATTGCACTGCGATCTGATTCTTCTATAATGGGCATAAAAAGAATGGGTACAGAACAAAAGGTGTCTTTGTATGCAGATGATCTTCTTCTCTACATTTCAGATTTGGATATGTCGATACCTACAGCACTTGGTGTCTGAAAGTCCTTTGGTTTAATATCTGGTTATAAATTCAATCTAAGCAAGAGCGAGATCTTTCCACTGAACTCTGCAGCTAGGAACTACCCTTTACATAATTTTCCATTTAAGATCTCCCAACATAGATTTACCTATCTTGGAGTTTGCATCACGGATACATTTAAAGGGATAGTTCGGCCAAAAATGATATTTAAACGATGCATTACTCACCCTCAAGCCGTTCGAGATGCATATGTCAATCTTGTTTCAGACGAACACATTTTCAGTTATTTTAGAAAATGTCTTAGACCCTTCAGTGGATATAATGTGAAGCAATGGGGTCCACCTCCTTCAAGTCCCAAAATGTGCATATATCCTTCACAGAAGTAATCCATCCGGCTCCAGGGGGATAAACGAAGGCCTTATGAGGGTAATCCGTGCGGTTTTGTCGTAAAAATATACATATTTAAAACTTTATAAATAAAAATATCTGACTTCCGGCAACGATCGACGCGCGTCCACGGGTGATGGAAGTCGGCGTACGAGGTAGGACGTAGCGTCGTGACGTAGAACGAACGCGCCCGCGCAGCCAGAGAGCTATGCAGAGAGCAGAGCAAAACATCACCCGTGAACGCGCGTCGATCGTTGCCGGAAGTCAGATATTTTCATTTATAAAGTTTTAAATATGTATATTTTTACGACAAAACCGCACGGATTACCCTCATAAGGCCTTCGTTTATCCCCCTGGAGCCGGATGGATGACTTCTGTGAAGGATATATGCACATTTTGGGACTTGAAGGATGTGGACCCCATTGCTTCACATTATATCCACTGAAGGGTCTAAGACATTTTCTAAAATAACTGAAAATGTGTTCGTCTGAAACAAGATTGACATATGCATCTCGAACGGCTTGAGGGTGAGTAATGCATGGTTTAAATATAATTTTTGGCCGAACTATCCCTTTAAAAGACTTTTTTAAATTTAACTTTGCTAATTTGCTTCTCCAGATGGAGAAAGAGTTTGAGCGCTGGTCACTGCTTCCCCTGTCCTTGGCTGGAAAAATCAACTCAGTTAAAATGAATATCCTTCCAAAGTTCTCTTATTATGTTCAGTGCATACCCATTTTTCTGCCTCAACACTATTTTCATCAAATTGATTCCCTAATTTTGGGTTTTATTTGGAATAAAAAGATTCCCAGAATGCGTAAGTCTTTTCTTCAGAGACCTAAAATACTTGGGGGAATGGCTTTACCTAACTTTCAGTTTTATTACTGGGCCACAAATCTTAGGGTCATGCAATACTGGTTAAATCAAGATTTTTCTCATGAATCATCTGTATGGCTTACCATGGAAGCTTCCTCATGTATGCCTACGACGCTATCAGCCTTAGTACATGCTCCCATTAAATGCTCATCTTCTCCCTACACCAAAAATATTATTGTTAAAACTACACTGAGAATCTGGAGGCAATTTAGACACCACTTTGGTTTACAAACCTCCTCTATTTCTGCACCTATAGCAGCATATTTTTTTTTTTTACCACCATTATTGGATAGGACTTTCTCCCAGTGGTCGGAATTGGGAATTACAACAGTCAAGGATTTTTATATAGATAATGTATTCGCGTCTTTCCAGCAATTACGGGAGAAATGTGCATTGCCCAAACACAATTTTTTCAGATATTTGCAGGTTCGCAGTTTTGTTCAGGACATGCACCCTCAGTTTCCTTGCCTCCCTAGCGCCAATCCCATTGACTCCTTCCTAAAAACCTATTCATGTAATGAAGGGTATGATTTCTCATTTTTATGAAGCAATATGCTCCTTGCATGGAAGTTCACTTGCTTCTATTAAATCTCAGTGGGAGGAGGACATAGGAGAAAACATTCCAGAAGAACAAGTTTTAAGTTTCAAGTTTATTGTATTTATAAAGCACATTTAAAACAACCTTGGTTGACCAAAGTGCTGTACAAAATATAGCTATCAAAATCCATACAAAAATTAAAAACAACTTTCACAAAACATTGACCGCACAAGAATACAAGTAGGTTTTAAAAAAAAATCTGAACTCAGACACTGTGGGCGCTGTTTTAATATGTAATGGCAATTTGTTCCATAACCTGGGGCCAGCTACCGCAAAGGCTCTGTCACCCCTACATTTCAGCTTGGTTCTGGGTACTCATAACAGGTGGTTAGACTGTGATCTGAGCAGTCTGATTGGTTTGTTTTCCACCACCAGCTCCGTAAGGTATTGAGGAGCAAGATTACTTAGTGCTTTATACACGAACAGCAAGACTTTAAAATCAATACGATACTGAACTGGTAACCAGTGCAGTAAACGTAGTGTGGACGTGATGTGATCCCGTTTGCGAGTGCCTGTGAGCAAGCGGGCAGCTCCGTTTTGGACCAGTTGAAGTCGGTGAATAGATGACGCAGGTAGTCGTAGATATAGCGAGTTACAGTAGTCAAGTCGAGATGAAATAAAGGCATGAATTATAATCTCAAAACTGTTCCTACTTAGGTTTAACTTTCGCTAATCTCCGGAGGTGGTAAAAACTGCAACGGACAACTGTATGTATTTGTTTGTTTAAGTTTAGGCCACTATCCAATATAAAACCCAGGTTCTTTGCCGAAAGTGAGCGATATAACGTGAGCGAACCCAAGTCAACATAGCTCAGGTCACTTTTCTCAGTTGGCCCAAACAGGACTATTTGAGTTTTATCATCGTTCAGGTGGAGAAAGTTCTTATTGAGCCATGTTTTCAATTCTTGAAGGCAATCCGTCAATTGATTTAACGCAGACTTATCACGTTTAAATGGTATGTATAGCTGATAAGATACTCCAAATCTTCTAAATATGGAACCTATAGGTAGCATGTATAGAGAGAACAGCAACGGTGCTAACGTTGAACCCTGAGGGACACCACATATAACCTGTGCTACGGTGGAGGAGTGATTCCCTATATTTACGGAGAATTTTCTATTGGACAAGAAGGACCGGAACCAGTCAAGTACCGTGCCTCTTAAACCAATGCATTGCTCCAGACGAGACAGAAGGACACCATGATCAACAAAGTCAAACGCAGAACTAAGATCTAGCATTATTAAAGCTACGATGTTACCAGCGTCAGTGGACATTAAAATATCATTAAAGACTTTCAGAAGAGCAGTCTCTGTACTATGTAAAGTTTTAAAACCAGACTGAAAAATATCTGAAATACCATTTCTATTCAAATAATCTTGAAGCTGCATACATACAATTTTTTCTAGAATTTTTGATATGAACCCTGTATGAAGGGTTGAAGAACAATGGGTAAAGATTTTACGTTGTGTAGACTCCTCATCCTTCTGCGCCAGACAGGGTCGGATGCAGTGTAAAATCCTTCATCGCACCCACTGGACCAAAGTTGACTCTCTAAAATATATTCTGAGATCGCTGTCATCAAGCCCCTGCATCTACTGCGCATATGTTTTGGTCTTGTCCATCTTTTCACAAATATTGGTCTCTGATCTTTAAAACATTATCTGAAGTTCTTGGAATTTATGTTAAACCTTTGCCCGTTTAACATATATATCATTATCATTATCATTATATTTGAGAGAGAGAGCCTGTGTGTCTGACTGTGTATGCACATATTGCACATCTGCACCTATGTTCTCTCTCTGTTTTGCGCATGTGCTACCGCTCTCGCGCGCTATTTCAGTCACAATACAGACAGACAGCAGACGACAACAAGCAAACCATGAGTCTGATAAAGCAAAAA